AACTACACGTACATACTACCCACTTTTAAGATGACACTATGAACACAGACAATCTAATATCTAGCACCATATCAACACATTTTATATACATTTAGAGCTTACAGTTAGGAGAAATATCACAAAAGGAAACCACCTCTGAAACAAGACAAAAATACCAAACTTGTAGCACTAAAGTTGTAACACGGATGAAGGGGGAGGGGGAATTCCACTCAAATTTGAAGCACCAAACTAAACCAATCTTGATTCGAAGTTTTAGAACGAGATACAGTAGTTAATTTCAGACATAAACCACCTGTGAGAGTACAAGTTACTGTGGTTTCCCCTTGGTGTGTATACTCTGAGATATGGAGGCTTTGGGAAGTAATGATGGAAATATCTAACTCCTATTGGCAACCTTCCTTTACCTTGAGGATTCTTACCTTACCAAAGAGGAGTGACTTTGCCGATGACCTGGTAGTGGCCAAGTTAAGTGGATTTTAGTTCCCCTGTTTCTTCCCCTACCCAGTTTTGTTGCTTATAGCAACAGAGTGCCTTAAGCATAGTGGGCATTCGCCATAAAGAAAGATACTGGAAAGAATTTATAGCAAATAATTCTCTTCTTCTGGATTTCAGTGTATGGTCAGCTGTTTCTAGCGCATGTTTCTGTCACCTCTTCTTAAGTCTGGAGGGGCTTGGAGGGACCCAAAACTCTGCTCCATCATACAAAATAAGGGAGAGTCTTTAGAAGGAGATAGTTAAAAGCCATGACCGACCAGAGTTTCTCCTGTTGTCTTGGCACCTTGTTAACAGCCAACTGTACCTTTAATCCTTTGTATGAGAAGGAAAGACATTTTGCTTTGAAAAAAATCTCTCCTCACCATGTGGAGTTTGTATGAAAGTTGAAGATAACCAAAAAGACATTATGGGTTGGTTTGTTTCTTCAAAATATGGAAGAGGGCAATTCTGAGAGAAAAATTCAGTCTGTTAGGTTAAATTTTTACTCTCTGCTTCATTCCAACAACCCTGAAGGTTTCATCATAGTTCAAATTACCAGGTGATGCATAATTTTTTTCTCCATATGATGTGTTCCAGACACAATTTTAAGAGCTTTTTGGCAAAGTCTAAGAAAGTAAGTTTCATTTAATCATGCAAATTATTCTTCAGGTAGTATGAAAATCTCTTCTGATGTAATTTTACCTAGCTTAATTGGCTAATTATATATAAAATAAGGCAACATTAGGCACCTTATAACTTTAGAGATAAAAGATTTTTTTGCTGAAATAATTGGACAGTATCTACAGGATTCAGGTTGTGCTCCAAAATGTGTTGTATCAAGTTCTCTTGCTTGCTCTCTCTTTTTTTTTGGGGGGTGTGGTAAGAAATGAGGTGCTTACTTTCTTGTCATGCCTAAAATGGCACCTTTTCTTACCTGTTTGATGTTGATATACCATCTTATCTAAATTGGATTAGAGTTGGCGAAGGAGACAGAAAATACGTTTGATGTTCACTGTTAGGGTTCACTTCTCTGCTTGCTGCTTCCGTAAGTCCCCAGGTTCCTCTGAAATCTGTCAACTCTGGATTTGGAAGGGGTTAATAGGGGCTGAGCACCCAGAGATTCAGGCACAGGGTATTCCTGAAGGGCCATCACAGCAAGGGGAAGGGAGTGGGACACGGGAAGGCAGCAGGCCAGGTGAGAGGCAGGGAGCTGGAAGAGCGAGGGACTTGCCAGCAGCTGGTATTGGTTGTGTCTTAGAGAAGAAGGAACCTCACCTCGCAAAAGTCACCAAAGCCCCAGAAGCCCCGAGCTTACTGTTTATTACTTGCCTTCCCAAGCTTGTTGAAACTGGTGTGTTAGTCAAAGCACCTGCGACTCGTTGGCAAACTAGATGCTCTATTATTCTTAAATAAGGAAATCGTTAAATTTAAAATCAGATCATTTCAAAATGTGGTTTTGTCTGGCCCCCATCATTGAATGGGACTTTTAACTGTACATATGAAATAGCCTTGGCAAAGGAATATGTCCTTTAAAAACATTTAGGGGAATCTATTGCACGTAAGAGTGAGTGTGTGTGTGTGTGTGTGTGTGTGTGTGTGTGTGTGTGTGTGCCTTTGGAAGGTTTGCAAATGGCAAGACAGTATGTGCAGTAGACCCTCATTAACTTGATAGTGCTTTATTCAAAACAGCACAAGATCATAAGCAGTTTCTATCTCCAAGCTAACCAAAGGCCCTATTGTTCATTAAGAGGAAATGTCATCAAATCACAATGCCCCAATTCAAAGATCCTCTTTTCCGGTCTTCACTGCTGAAGAATCCAATTTGCCAAAAAGATGGAAAGTGACTAAAATAGGGAGAGGGGGAACTTTAAAAGGAACAGGTGAGTCTAGCACCCTGGAGGATGTTATGTGTGCTGTCAGATGGACTTACCACACTCGGACAGCTGCTGGGTCCATTCTGACTTGGAATTTTGACAAGCAATTTTCTCTGACACACTTTGAAGGGGTTGAGCTTTAAAAATAAAACAAGAAGTTCACTTTCAACACATGGTTGGAGACACTGTTTGAAATCCCATTTCCTCTCCAAGTAAATAAACATTTCTTCTTTTTCAAGAACAGGCTATAGCCACCCTGAATTTCTCTGACCATTATAGACCTGCAAGGCAATACCCGCCCTCTACAAGAGGATTGATAATATAAGCCATTTCTTCTCTCCCAGCTATCCTTTAAGGACAGATCAATACAAGACTCTGCCAATAAATCAGCATAATAAATTTATGACTATTAATTGGCTTTATACATTTTGGTAAAAAAATAAATGACAGTGTGAGGTTGAACTTCAGCCCACATGCCTTGTCTGAAATATCACAAGTTCCAAATTAATGGAATTGAAATTAATCAGGTTTTCACAGGCATATTGATTTAACAGGCTCAACATGGTGTGAGTCTACTCCCTCTTCCCCTACAGTCTAAGCATGATAATTGCAAGGTTCCCATGTAGACTTTTCCACAGCTGTTTACCTCTCCCCCTTGAGAAGCTCCATGTTGGAATCTGTGAGGAGGAAGAGATAAAGTATAAATGAGCTGGGCATTTATAGAAATGTTTGAGTTTGAATATAGAAAAGTTGAGTTCTAATAAAGACATAGAAATCCTACAAGAATGGGCCTAAACTCTGAATATGCTCATTGTTTAACACAACCACCTGATTAAGTTTTTTTTTACCCACCAAATACCCCTTCTCCTCCCTCCACTAATGTGGACAGTGGGTTTCTGCGTTCTCAATTGGTTGTCAAGTTGCTTTCATTTGGTTTTCAGGAGGATCAAAGTTACTGGCTTAGCAATTTAGGGTTCTTTGTTATTTTGTCTTTAGATATGCCTGTGCTTTCTGAAAAACCCAAGCATATCTTTGCCCAAAGTGCAGTGCAGAGTGAGATCTGAAAAATCTCCCTCTGTTCACCCTATTGATAATTTAGATACTTTCCCAAAGTGATGTACTTCTGCAGTCATAATTAGGTTAATTCTGACCTGAAAATGCTTTGATTTGAAACTTGTTTGGAATAGATCAGATGTTTGTTGGGTATTGTGAAACCATCTTCTGTCATTTCTGACTCTTACATACTCTCTTGCATCTGAAGAGAGCTTAAAAGCTTTAGAGAGCTTCAGGTTGAAAAGAAATATGGGTATGCCAGGAGGAAGAAAAATGTTCATCCTGCTCTTAGTTGTTCTTCTGGCCAAAAACCTATTTCTTGTCTATTAGGTAACAGACACAAATGATTTTTAAAGATATTACCCTTTTTCTCTGTGGTACTGGGGACTGAAGCCAGGGCCTCATGCTAGCGAGCATTGCATTGCTTGAGCTTTGCCCCCAGCCCTTTTGTTTTTATTTTGCTTTTGGGCATTGGGTTTCACACTTTTTCTGAAGTGGCCTCCAACTTCAGATCTCTTGCCTCCTGGTGTACCTGGGTTTACCAGGCCACCAGGCCCATAGCGTATTACTCTTAATCATCAGTGCCAGTTTTTGTAGAATATTGGCCACTCCTAGTTAAATTTCTTTTTTCTTTTTTTTTCTGGAAATACTGCTTGACAAAAAGGCTTATTTGACACAAAACAAACCAATACACAAGATCTAGAAGATTCTTATGAGCATCCTAATTCAGTCACAAAGGGGGAAATTTTAAAATAATGGCATGATTTCTGTCCCAGTATTATTTAAATAGGAGACAGAAATATCTTAGTGTCTATTGACAATTTTCCATTTGCACCAAGTGAAGTCAGTACCAGCCAATACATAAGCTGAGGATTGTAAATCCAACCATTCCACCCCATGGATGTGGTGTGCAATTCTTTCATTTCTTCCTGTAGACTGGCTTCTTATTTGCCCTCCCACATTTCTGGATCCCTTTTGAGGATCTATAAATGATGTTAGTATTCTAACTGCCTGTTAGACAGGTATATTGTGGTCTTAATTTTCATAACAGTCTTTGGCACCAGATCGTGGGGCTCTTCAGTGTAGAACTTGGCTCAGACGTTGATCAGTCCATAAAGTTCTGCTTCTTGGCCTTCCTAAATGATTTAGTCCACTGCTTTTCTTTGTTTAAGGTAAACTGTAGCCCTGGACCATGAGCTCCTGACTTGAGGGCTAAATAGTCGTTAAGTACACAGATACCATGTTCCCTTTTTCTCAGTGCTATTTTGTAGCTTTGGGTAGACAGGCAGAATACCAAGTACAAGTCCAGAAAGGATAGCCCTTGTTACCTTAACAAATTTAGAGCCTAATAATTGTGTGTGTGTGTGTGTGGGGGGAAGTAATTTCAGTCAGAATCCTCAAGTCCTGGCTTTGAGGGAAAGACCCCAGTTCTTGCTTCTTCCATAGATTTATCTACCTTGTGGGAAAGGATGTATGTGCAACCCCTTTGCCTGCAATGATATGGGTTGGCATTAATGAGCTTGCGGGTGATGCACTGAAAAAAGAAGCCGCTCTTGTTTTCTGCCTTGTGGACAGTTCAATGTTTGCTTTGAATCAACTTTAAGGGGAAGTAGCAGAATCACGGGAGGGAACAACCTTGCCTTCGGTACCACGCTCGGTGCCAGCTTCACTTCCAGGGAGCTCAGGGTGGCTGTCTTCTTTGGGGGGCTTTTTCTTGCAGAAGAACTTCTTCAGCATATCCTGGATCTCCTTCTTGATTGTCTTGTGCATGTAGCCATAGATATAGGGGTGGATGCAGCACTGCAGGAAAAAGAGCCAGATTATTATAGTAATCACCCACTGGGGTACTGTGGCCTGGATATCCACCCATACGGCCAGGACTGCTAGAAAGCAGTAGGGCCCCAGAGATAGCACGTAGGAGAAAATGATGAGAAAGATCACTTTGGCAGCTTTGCACTCGTAGCACCGGGGCAGCGGAGGGTCACTGTTGCTGTTTCGGCGACTGGCTGGCAGACTCTCCGGAATGTGCACTGCTTCCACATCATCTGCATTGAAATGGACCTCATCCTCATCAAAGTCCATGTCAATATCCCCCAAGTCAATGTTGCACTGATGGACCTCCGTCTGGCCCTCCTGTGCCTTCATGCAGCTCTCCACTTCGATTCCGCATTCCCCATCCACGCTCCCATCACTGACCTCTTTGCTGCCCTTGGGGTCCACCATCCCCTCACTGATTTCCATGCTCTCCACTTTGCTCTTCAGGCCGTTGACCTTGGCCTCTGTGACACCCATCTCCACCTCCACGCTGCTGCTTTCCTTAGCCTTGCCTTCCCCTTCACCCTGCCCACAGAGCTCATTCTCATCCTGGAACTCATCCTTCTCTCCTTCCCTTTCATTCTCATTCTTCACACAGTCCTTGACCCGCACCCCCAATCGGTGGCTCTTAACGTTATACAGCAAGGCATGCTGTCGCCGGGCTGCACCAAACACCACAGAGTAGCAGGCAATCATGACAATCAGGGGAACGACAAGAAAGGAGACCACACTGACAATGGTGTAGCTGGGGCTAGATCCCCAGATCATGGAGCAGAGGGCATTGCGCTCATCAAAGGTAACCTGGCCCCAGCCATAGAGTGGGGGTGTGCTCTGCAAGATGGCCACGATCCACGTGCCATAGAGGAGAACGTAACCACGGCGCTGGGTCATCTTGGATGGGTAAGAGAGAGGGTGAATGATGGACAGGTACCGATCTATGGACACCACTACAATGGTGTTGACACTGGCAAAGGCAAACAGGTGGGTGAGGCTAACCAGGGCGGTGCAGAAGTGGCTATTGAGGGGCCAGAAGAGAGGCATCGAGGTGGCCACTACCCAGGGAGCCACGAGAGAAATCTGCAGCAGGTCGGTGACGAGGAGGTTAAAGATGAAGCGGTTGGTCACCTGCAGCAACTGCGGCTTGCGCTGCAACACCAGCGCCAGCACTATGTTGCCAACGAAGGAGACAGCTAGGAAGATGAGCAGCACGCTCGCGCGAATGATACCGTGAGCCACGCTGATTGGCATCTTGGAGAGGGGCACGCACGGCTGGCTGCTGTTGGTCTCGCGCGTGTTGTTGGGGCAGGTGGATGTCATCCCGATGGCTGCACCGCTCCTCAGGGGAAGGGTTCACCAACTTGCCCTGTACTGGGAACGAAAGACACACGTGGGGGAAGACGTTTTTAGTCTCTCACTGAGAGCCTCTGCAGGCAGCAGCGGGGATATAGGACCCTTCCCCCTGACCCCCTCCCTCCCTCCCACCTCGCTTCCCCACCACCATCGCGCGCAAGCGCAGCCACAATCAGGGCAGTTTCTCTGGCTCCTTCTCTTAAATCTCGGATGGGGGGGGGGACGGGTGTCTCTGCCGTGTCCCTGGGGAGGGGGTGTCTCTCATTTCCTGTCATCTGTTTCTATTGCTAGTGCGGCCTGGCGGCCTCTGTGTACGCCCTTACCCCTATAATGTGTCTCACGTTGTGTCTGGGTCTTGAGAGTTTGGGTCTGTTTCGCTGGCGCATGCGCGTGCGCGCTCGTGCGCTCTTTCTACCTGCCTGTTTATCATGGTAGAATTTTGTGAATGTCCTGTATCTCGCTAGCGCACTTTCCGGGTATCTCTCACAGTGTCTCTGATGTTCTTTCATCCTTATCTCTGTCCTCTCCCTGTTTCTCACTCGTTCGTGCCTAGTTGTGTTCGTGTGTGTCGCGGTTGCGTTATTCCCGCCTTTCCCTAGTATCACTGTGTCTGTTTCTGAGGGTCTTTTTCATGAGGAAACTTTCTGGGGAGCTGGGTGATTGCGATGCACCGTGTTCCTCCGTCTTTTTTCCTCTTCTTCTTTTCTAGTCGTATCCCCGTCTCTGTCTATGTTATGGTATATTATTTGCTAGTGCGCATGCTCCCTCCCGTCTAGTCTGTTTCACTGGATTTCACTGTCAGTCCCTCACGTCCTCTCTGGGCCCCTAACACACCTATCCTGCCTTGCGGGCATTAGGTTTGTCTCTTCCCAGCGCCATGTCTCTCCAAGTCTCTTGTTTCCTGGCTTCTATCTCAACATGACTCCGGCGGCTCAGTGGCACCTGTGCCCTACACTTTCTGGGATCATCTTTTGTCTATGTTGGCCAGCCCTCCTTCCCCCCCTCGCCCCCCCCCCCCCCCCCCACTGTCCACGGCTCCTTATGCCCAACCTCGCTCGTGTGCTCTGTGTGCGCGTCGTCCCTTTTGGTAGGGCTGTTGACGCTGCACTGCGTGTCTCACCTGTCTCTGCGTCTGTCTCTCCAGCTCTCTGTGTCCTAATCCCGGGACTCCGCTAAAGTCTTTCCCGTGCGTTTTGGCCTGTGTGTGTGTGTGTGTGTGTGTGTGTGTGTGTGTGTGTGTGTGTGTGTGTGTGTGTGTGCATTTTTGATTCTCTCCAACCTTCTCCGACGGTCTCTCCCATCGTTTTTCCTCCAACTGGATCTCTGATTCCATCTCTGTCTCTGCCGACTTTATTTTTGTCATGGAAACCGCCGCCGCCGCCTCGGGCTTTGCGGGATAAAAAAATGCCTAGTTTCTCAGCAGCGCAGCGGCGGCTGGGGCAATGCCGGGAGGATTGCTGATTGCTGATTCCTCCTGCCCCACACTCCCCGTCCTCCCTGCTTTCTCCAGCTTACCCCGGGGACGATGGCGCTGGGGGTCGGGGGAGAGAGCTGGGAGAGCATGGAGGACGGGACGCAGGGAATCTAAGAGAGACTAGGAGAGAAAGAATCAGAGATAGGGGATGGAGAGACAGGGAGAGAGACAGGAAGAGTGAGACAGTCAAAAATGAGGAGGGACATGCAGGGCAAGTGAGAGACAGGGAGGTAGAGTTAAAAAAAATAAAAAGGCCAAACAAGAGCGCGACAGAATGAAAGATTTAAACAGGTAAAAGGACAGATCGTGAGAGGTAGAAAAATCAGAGACTGTGGAGACAGGAGAGAGACAGAGAGAAACAGAGACAGAGACAGAGAGAAGAGAGGGAGAGGGAGAGGGAGAGGAGGGAGAAAAAAAGAGATGAGAAGTACAGAGGGAATGAGGAAGCAGCAGCAGCAGATTGAGCGGGAAGGGAACACACTAAAGAAAGTGAGAGGGACAAACCCGAGGGGGACGGGACGGCGCTGGGGGTCCCTGAGCGCGCGCGCGCCCCTCGTGCGCCTACGGGCTGCTGCACAGGGGACATTGGGGCTCCGGAGCTCACGGACCGGCCAGGCGCGGGGAACCGCGGCGCCCGCCAGGAGCACCACCGGGCTGCTTACCTGTTGCTGCTGGACGCGTCGCGCTGCGACTCGGTCCCTCCGGGCTCCCCGCGCGGATCTGGCAACCTCTCGGGATGCCAGCGGGCTGCGGGACTCTCACCGAAGTGCCGGGAGTAGCGGGTGCGGCGGGCGCGGCGGGCGCGGGGTACAGAGCCTGTACCCGCACGTCCGGCCTGCGCGCCGCGCTGCAAGCTCTGAGCAGCGGGGGCGCGCGGCGTCTTAAGGCAGCACGGTGCCCTCACCTTGCGGCGCGTCCCCCCCCCCCCGCCCCCCCCCGCGCCCGTGACGCACGAGGCCCCAGAGCCCAGAGGAGCTGGGCTGACGGATATGTGTGTGTGTGTCTGTGTGTCTGTGTGCGTGCGCGTGTGTGTGCGTGTGCTCCAATGGACCCCGCACAGATTTTCTCACTCTGTGTCCCACCACAGGTCCCCCAAACTCACAAACTGGGGATATTTCCATAGTTGATGTTACTGCACACACACACACACACACACACACACACACACACACACACACACACACACTTGCCAACTCTGAATGTTGAACTAGGTGCTGGTAGCACATCTACACAGTCTTTCCAAAGAGAGGGGATGGGACTATGGATATGACCTCCACAGCTCCCAAAGTATAAACTGTGCTTGGGCTCAGGAGAAAAATCAGGAATATATATATATATATATATATATATATATATATTTAATGAATTTCTCTAGCACCTAGGAAAAGCTAAGCCGCAGGGCCTGGGAGCATTTCATGTAAGACAACCTGCTAGCCATATTGTTATATTTAATTGAAGTCTGTCAAAATCTCTCTGTCTTTCTGTCTCTGTCTTTCTCTCTCTTGCAAGCATGCTCGTACACACACATACACAAACACACAAACACAAGCTGTTTTTTTCTAATAGAAGAGGCAGTGGAATCATTACCCCAGCTTTGTGAGGTAAGTACTGCTATTATCTTCATTTTATAGAAACAGGAGCACAACTTGCCCAAGTTCAAGTGAATACTGCGATTGCACCTGTTCTTTCAACTAAGGCATTCTGGCGTCCTCAAATACATATTGGGTGCATGGAACACTTCAGGCCTGAGGAGGCAGCACTGCATGAAGCATTCTCCCCCATTGCCACCTCATCAGAGAAGGTGCCTCAGATCAGGGATCATTTACATAGCATTCCCCAAAGATGAGAAAGCATTTTTCTAGGCAGGAGAAAGAGAAGAGTGGGGGGGGGAGGGAGGAAAGATGCTTTGTATTATGGAGGTGCACAGACAAAGATAGGGCTACAGGAGATGGCAACGGACCTAGGTTGCAAAGACAAATACAATGTGCTATTGTATGCCACGGGCAGATCTAGAAAAGCCTTTAGTGCCAAACTTGGGACTTTGAGCTTTATCTAGAGATCCCCTGGAGGACTGTTGGACAGTTGTATTATTATGAATAATTGTAAACACACACAAATGTAATGAATGCAATTACATAAACTTTTATATTTCCCATCATCCACCCTGAGCAAGAACATGTATTTGGTTATCCTTGTTCATGGATGGCTTTTAAGTTAGGAAATATGACAAAGTTTCTGGTTCTCCAGGGTCTCCTAGAAGCAGAGCTTGGGTGGAGGGACAGGTGGGTGTCATAATGGAGAAACGGCACAGAGGAGGCTGTAGTAGGAAGCACTAAGGGAAGGAATTGACACAGGAGGGGAATACGGCCAGCAGACATTGAAGGTAGGATACGATGAGCACAGGAGTGCTCACTTGAGGGACTGGATGGAGAGACTTCGCCCTTCACATTTCCTGCCTCTGGGTTAGGGACATGAGGCATGTATATAATCAAGCCCTAGGATGCTCTTTGGATTTCAAGTCCTATATTTACACTTAGATCATTTGTCTTTTTTTCCCCTGCTAGGCCTGATTTTTATCTTCCTAAGGTTGAATGGCTAAAAAAATAAAGCCTGTTCATTTTTCCTAAAGACAGTTTCCATGATAATCACTCACAATTATTAATTCCTAGCTTCACACTGGCCATGCTGCAGAATCCTGGGTGGCACACACTGTCAAGTACCAGTTGGTTTAGACTTGATTATTTGGCAATCATTCAGGAGGCAGTCAAACTGCTAGGAGAAGACCAGAAACAATGTCCAGTTATTTCTGACCTTTCCTCCTTTTTATTTACCTTCTGCCCTGAACTGTGGCACTCCAGCAGGGAACACATAATGAGAGACCCACTATGTATGTGTCAAAGGTACCTTAGAAGGACCAGCTCGTGCAGTCTGTAGCTATATTCCTGGGTGCTATGGCCTCTAGAGAGGAAGCCATTCTGCCTTGTCTGCAGGAGACAGTAAGAACGGCCAGGAAGCATCCAAAGAGAAATGGAAGCTACTTTTCTCTACTGGACAATGTTTGAGGGTGCTTAATTCTCTTTGTCTCCTTTACTCTCTTTCCCCTAGACTTGAGTAGTGTCCTTGAATTTCCAAGTCACGTAACTATAAGCTTGCCAACTGGGGGTATTGGGGAAAGTGGATTGACTTCTTGCCCTGACAGCACGGTTTTGCTGGCTTAGAAGAACCCTTCAACTGGCAAGCTTCATTAGATTCTGGGGGAACTCTTAGGGGTGAAATAAAATAGTTTGAGATGATAGATGGCTGAAGAAGCTACAGAGCCCATTTCTCTAGCTTCAAAATTTAGTAGCAGCAGAAGTAAAATTGAGCTAATTGGCATTAATGAGCCAGAACTGGAGGGCAAGAAGCCACTAAGAATGAAGGGCTCTAGGGCTTGAGCCCAATCACAACATTGTTCAGCAGTATGTTAGACTCATTTGTTTACTACTTCAGTAAG